GTCAGGTACTCCAAAAGCACGAAGAACGACCCAGAGCCCAGGCCTACTGATGGTATCATAGGCCTTGACCAGGTCAATAAAGCAGAGATGTAGGTCTTGTTGGAATTCCCTACACCTCTGCTGTAGCAGACGGACAGAAAATATGGCATCTGTGCAGGACCGCCCTTTCCTGAAACCGCATTGGGGCTCCGCAAGCCTCTCCTCAGCGTGCCTGGCAAGGCGATGCTGAATAATCCTTGCCAGGACCTTTCCTGGCACACTGAGGAGTGAGATGCCCCTGTAGTTGTTACAGTCTGTGCGGTCCCCCTTCTTAAAAAGGGGGACCACCAGGGCATCCTTCCAATCCTTTGGAACCCGTCCAGTGGTCCAGACTGTTGTTATGATGTCATATAGGGCAGTCTGTGCACAAACGCCAACCTCCCTCAGCATTTCGCTTGGGAGATCATCTCTGCCCGCTGCTTTTCCTGGTCTCAGACTCCGGATCGCCTTCAATACTTCCTCAGCAGATGGCACCTCAGCCAGCCACTCACAGGGGGTGACTTCTTCCAATATTTGAGGCACCGCAGCCTCAGCAGGGTCATCCTCACTTTGTGCCACGATGTTTTCCTGGCTGAGGGATTTTCCCTCCCCCAGGACCTCACAGAAATGCTCATCAAATCTGCGAACCTGTTCCTGGGGGTCGGAGATTGGATCACCGTTTTTTCCCCTAATGATGGTAATAGGTGTGGCGCTGCAGGTTACTTTTTTGATGGAGTTAAATAGAGATTTGTGATCACGGGCCACTGAGGCAGACTCCATCTCCTCAGAAACCCACGACCACCACCCATCCTTGCAGCGCCTCACGGCTCTCCGAACCTCCGAGCGAAGGCTGCGGTAAGCCTCCTCATTCTCTGACGTGGGATTCTGTAGCCGATGACAGTGGGCCTGTCGCTTTTTCTCAACCATCCTGAACACCTCCTCTGTCAGCCAGGGTCTCTGGGGAGGTCTGGACCGCGTACCCAAAGCAGCCATTGCAGCTGCATGAGTCACAGTCCTAAACCTCGTCCATTTACCCTCGACATCAGGAGGAGTCGGGGACGATGCCAATCCCAGCCGCAAGCGATGATGAAATTCTCGCTTGCAACTTTCATCAGATAACTGAGACCAGGCCACTTTAGGTTGGAATGGGGTCCTGGGTGTACACCCACCACCGGAGTGGAAGAATGGCAGGCGCATCTTACAGATGACTAGTCGATGGTCAGAGGGCAGATCAGCTCCACGGTAGGTCCTGGTGTCAAGGACATGGGCTCGCATTCGCTGGTCCGTCACTATGTAGTCCAGCAGATGTTCTTGCTTGGACCCGGCATGCATCCATGATGTTGTGTGGATGCGCCGATGCCGGAACAGCGTGTTGGTAATTACAAGCCCATGGGCTGCACAAAAATCTAGCAGCCTCCTACCGTTGTTATTGAGCTGATCTGGCCCATGCCCTCCAATCACTCCAGACCAGGTGCCAGTATCATGACCAACTCGGGCATTGAAGTCACCCAACATGATGACTCTATCCCGAGAGGCCACTTTAGCCAGCACCTGTGACAGGAGGTCATAGAAGGCATCTGACTCATCGGCTTTGCCTGCATCCCTCCACAGATGTTCATCTTCGGTGGGGGCATAAGTAACCACGACCACCATTCCTCGCCTCCGTTTGATGGGAAGGCGAGCCCAAAGTAGCCTGGGGCTTACAGCTTCCCACACCTCACCGCCACGCTCCCACGCCCCCTTCATTCTTTTGTTCAAAAGAAGACCCACACCCTGTTGTTTGGCAGTCTGCTGCCCCGAGTAGAGGACTGTCCACCCCTCATGGTGGCAGGAGCCAGAGCCGGTCCACCGGACCTCCTGAATGCCGCATAGATCCAGGCGGTACCGGTCCAGCTCCCGACAGAGGAGTGGCAGCCTCTCCTCTGCAGTGAGCGTTCGAACATTCCACGTGGCCACCCGTAGCGGTTTTTCGTTGTTTCTGGAGAAGCCCCGAGGGTAGATATTCAATCTCCTGGCTCCGCCAATTGGGGTTTGGCCAGGAGACGTCATAGACGCCTGGCCCCCCGGGGCCTCCGGCACAAGCTTATTAGTTACATATTTCAGTTTAATTCGTGGTTTCGTGGTAATTAATTGAAGGTGGAGGGGTTACCAGCCCCTCGCACCCGTCCAGAGCCCCCGTTTAGCCCCTGTGGTGGACATATATGCCATGAGGTGAGGAGCCAATCAAAATTGGATCTCCCCCCACAGCACTATCCACGACAGAGTTGCCCGTCCTGCACCGCGAGGAGGTAGGGGGTTGTTTTGCCGTACACACACACACACTCTTACACACACACACGCTTACACAACAACAACAACAACCGCCATTCGCCACTAAGTGGCGGTGACGTCACCACGACGCTTGTGCCAGGCTATGTGCACCCTGAGGCCACTCACACTCTTACACACGCACGTGTGTGCCCAGTGACGCACACAGCGAGACTCTGACAGCTTTTAGGGGATCGGTAGCACCGCGGGTTGGAAATATAACTTGACGTCCATGTAATTAAAACATTAACCCCGAATATTGATGAGTTCATCAAAAAAATATTTCATTTGTGTGTTTTGTGTATGTGTTGGGTGTGTTGTGTGTGTTGTGTGTGTGTGTGGTGGTGTGTGTGTTGTGTGTGGTGTGTGTGTTTGTTGTGTGTGTGTTGTGTGTGTTTGTTGTGTGTGTTTTGTGTGTGATGTGTGTTATCTGTTTTGTGGGTGGGGAGCGGTGGTGCAGCGGTTAGCGCTATGCTGCGCTACGAACCTGGCGACCCGAGTTCGATTCCCGCTCACGGCCAGCACCAACACCAGTGACGATTATCTGAACCGGTCTTGGGCAATCCCTTAGATCGACTAAGCCGCAAATGAGTAGCTGGTGTAGCGGTGTGTAGTAAACATCGCCACTATGGAGACAAAGGCGGCCGGGCGAGGTGCTGGCCACCCACCCCCTCGTGTGCCGTGCCGGCCTTCATAGGTGGTGCCACTCGCTAACAGCACTTGCCCTAACAGTCGGTTGCAGGCTACACGGGTGATCTTTGTCTTTGTGTGTGGGGGGTGGGGGGGAGCGGTGGTTCAGCGGTTAGCACGCGGCTGCACTAAGAACCCGGGCCACTCACCCACCCACCCACTCACCCACCCACCCACTTACCCACCCACTCACCCACCCACCCACTCACCCACCCACCCACCCACTCACCCACCCACCCAATCAATCAATCTAAACTTTTTTTCCCTAGCAAAAGTTCTTGCAAAAGATGCAATTCAAAGTGCTGCTCAGATAAAACAAAAACGAAAACATTCTTACAAGACTAAAGCGCAAGAACAATTAATGCAATTTCCATAGGAACAAAATATTTCGTTATTCTGAATTGCAAACGAAGGCATAGAATGAAAAAAAATACAACACTGTGAAATAATCTTAAGTAGAAAGCAAAGTTAAAAAAGGGTAAGTTTTTAGATTCAACTATAAACAACTCGTTGTTTCTTTCGGAAAAATCACGTAGGTAGAAAATAAATTCAATAATCGAATACGACGTTTCGATTGCAACACAAGCAACCGTCATCAGGTAAGATCAAATGCAAGCTCGGAGAGAGAGACACAGAGAGAGAGAGACACACACAGACTTCTTTTTTTTTACTTTTAAACCACTTTTATTGCCGCCAGCAGCAAAAGCACTGGAGGCGATTTCGATATGAAACGCACAAAGTCACCAGCAACACAAATGAAAACAATCGCTACAAATCAACACGCTGTGGCGCTAAAAAGCACCGCGCACAACACGAAAGAAAAGTCACGTGGTGGTGGTGATGGTGGTGGTGGTGATTGTGGTGGTGGTTGTGGTGGTGGTGTTGGTGGTGGTGTTGGTGGTGGTGGTGATGGTGATGGTGGTTGTGGTGGTGGTGGTGGTGGTGATGGTGGTTGTGGTGGTGGTGGTGTTGGTGGTTGTGGTGGTGGTGGTTGTGGTGGTGGTGGTGGTTGTGGTGGTGGTGATCATAGCGCACGCCACGGTGACGAGCGAGCGCTTCAGAAGGTGAACACGTGGGGTGGTGCCGTCCACGCTGGTTACAGAGAGGGGCTTGTCCGGCTCCCCAGCGTTCGAGGAAGACGCGCTGCACATCACCGACATGTGTGTGTGTCACGTGGCGTGCTCCAGCCGGAGCCGCGCCTTGAGCAGGCCCCTGAACACTGGAAGCAGCACAGAGCAGCCGTCAGTGTCACCTTGCAGCGTCTTTTTTTCTCGTTCTGTACACCGCCATCCTCGCCTTTGCACAGGCGAAGTTGGCGAGGTCACGGCGTTTGTTAGCCAGGTAAGGCACCACCACCCCATGTACCAAGCTGCTGTTTGGTTCTATTCGGTAAAGTCACGTAGGTAAAACAACAAAATCACGACGTTTCGGCCACAACACAAGCGGCCTTCAAATCTAGACTCAAGCTGCTGTTGTAGAAGGGCACCCCCAGTTTCCTGAAGATGTCCCCCAAAAGGCGGAACATTGAGTTTGAGCCGCTGGCAGCGTAAGTACCGGTAGGGCAGATCCTCCCTGGCACCGCAGGAGATGCACCAAGTCTGTTACCCCCGGCGAGATTCGGCTGAGCCACCCGGCCGATGGCAATGTGCAGTGTGCCAACCTCCACCGGAGGTCACCGCAGCGTTTGGCTACGGGAGACTTTGTACATTTGTTTCTACTGGGGGGGTGGCCGCAATGAGGGGAGAGAAATGGTCTCTCCATGTTTGTGTCCGGTAGGTCAGCCAGATCCCGGGAATGCAGCGCCTTGACACAGCCACGTGTAGAGCGCTTTGTTCAGGACGCTCTTCAGGGGCACGTTCCTGCAGCCTCGGGGCTTCAGTAGCTTGCCGGAGTCGCTGTGGCCGGGGGGCCACGCGCAGGAGAAGCGAAACTCGAGGAAGGAGGAGAAGGGGGGGGGGGGGAGGGCCGCCACCATCCCCCGGCGCCTCCAGATTCAGGCGCAGCTCCTTCATGGCGCGGAGCGACGTCCCGCAGCAGCTTCTCCCCAGCTAGCGTGGAGCGGAGCCCTGCGGTGTTGGCGATCTCAGCTGCGGTCTTCCACTTGGGCTGGTGGGGGCCTGCACAAGGTGGAAGACTGTCCGCAGCCCTGCTGATGTGAGGCGATGAGCCCCAGGGTCCCTCTCTCCTCTGATCCCCTGGAAGAGGCCGTTGCAGAACGAGGGGCACGTTCAGGAACTGCGCGAGGTCGTAGGGCAAGCACGGTCTGCTCCCACTCGAAGCTCCGCCACGCGTCCAAGAGGCTGTGGTGATAACCTGGCAGCCTCGTGTAGTCGACCAGGCTCAGGTCCATCAGGAAGAGCTCCTTTCCGTACCCCAGGCACCCCCCTGCATTCCTCAGCAGGGCGAGGGCCGCGACTTCCAGGGTAGCTCCTCCCGGTCGTACAGCGGCCGCCTGACCGCCACGAGCCTGAAACTCGTGACCCTGGCGGCGACGTCCACCAGACCCTGTCCACCCTCGCCCACCGGCAGGCAGAGAACGCCCGGCCTGAGCCGGTGCTTCCCGTGCCAGACGAAGTGCGCGAGTGAGCGGTTGACTCTGGTGAGTATAGCCAAGCAGGAGGGCCTTGGTCTTGTACTACAGCACGGATGCAGCCAGGGTGTTAGCGACGAGCACTCGGCCCCTGAATGACATCTGCGGAGCGAGGCGTGGCGCCCATGTCAGTAATTTAGCCTCGATTGTGTCGGCCAGCTGGGTCCAGTTGTTCAGAGCGACGTCACGTGGTTTCCCCAGGTGAACCCCCTGGTACTTGACTCCATCGTCCTGCCGACTGACTCCTCCTGGGAGGAGCACGGAGCGAACGCCGCCTCGCGACCCCAAACACACAGAGGGGGGCCTCGCACCTGGGCCCAGTTGACCCTGGCGGAGGAGGCCCCCCTCTCGTACACTGGCAGAGCACGGAGGCGTCACGTGACGCGTCGCTGAGGACGACGCGTCACGTCGTCGTCTGCGTGAGCCGAGAGCTTGATGATCGCGTTCTCAGGTCCCGGGACCTTGAGGCCAGAGAGATTTCGTCTCAGGTGGCGTAGCAGTGGCTCAATGGGACAGGGTGGTACAGCAGCCCCGAGAGGGGGCATCCCAGGTCTGCCCCCCCCTCGTCACAGGGAAAGGGGACGCCGAGCCGCTGGTTTATCTTCGTGAGGCTGGATGTGCCCCCCGTGTACAGGAGCCTCACGTGCGAGATGAAGGCCTGGCCGAAGCCGGGCGTCGTTAGGAGTTTGTCCAGGTGCTCGTGGCTCACCCTGTCGAAGGCCTTCTCCTGATCTAAGAAGATGAGGCCCAAGTCCATGTTGTGCGCTTCTGCAAGGGAGATTACGTCTCTGGCCGTACCGATGTTGTCGTATATGCACCGTCCGGGGATGCAATACGACTGTTCCAGCAGGATCAGCTGACCCAGCCCTGTCTTGAGACGGTTTGCGAGCAACATTGGAGAAGATTTTGTAGTCGGCGCACAAAGAGGGACACGGGTCGCCAGTTCACGAGGAGGTGCAGGTCCCCCTTCTTGGGTAGCAGGGAGACCACGGCTCTCCTGCAGTTCTGTGGGGAGTTCCCCCTTCTGCAGGCTCTCCGTCAACAATCGTAGTAGTGGAGGGCCAAGCTCATCCCAGAAGGCCGCGTAAAACTCAACCGGCAGGCCGTCAATCCCCGGGGCTTTACCAGCTGCGAGCCCTTTCACAGCGGTGTGGAGCTCCTGCAGGGTGACGGGGCTGTCCAGACGACCCCGCTCGGGGACTTCTAAGGTAGGGCCCCCGTCCAGTAGCTCCCAGACAGCCCCGTCGTGTATGGTTTCGGCGGCGAAAAGTTGCGAGTGGAAATCCCCGGCGGTCTTGGCGATCTCGCTCTCGGATGTTGCTGTTTGTCCATCTGGAGTTCGCAAACTGGAAATTTTCCTGGTGTTGGCCGGTGCTTTTTTTAACCGGAAGAAAAACTTAGAGAGAGAGTCCACCTGCGACAGGTGCTGCATCTTTTTGCACACAAAAGCACGGCGTGCCTGCTCGTCCGTGATGGACTTGAAAAGCCGCTGCTTCTCCGGTAGCGTCTCACCCTGCTGTGTGTGTGCCGTGGGAGTTGCGCTCAGCTCTGCCTCAAGCACCAGCAGCTCGTGAACTGCTGACAGAGAACCCTGACCTGCGCCTTTGTGTTGTCCCACCACGGCTGGTGGGAGCTGAAGCTCCCTTTGGCAGGCAGCCACTGAGCCCAAAAGGCTTTGAAGGTTCCTCTGAAGTCGGTGTCATCAAGCAGCTGTACGTTGAGTCTCCAGTAGGCGCCATGCTGCTCCGCTCTGGGAATTCGCAGCAGCGCAGAGACCAGGCGGTGATCGGAGAAACCGGAGGGTGCGATTTTACCGTCCCCGAGCAGGTTAACGCCGCTGGCGTTGACGTACGGTCGGTCGAGCCCGGCAAGGCTCACCCTGCCTTGAGGGCCGCAGCGGCACCAGGAGTACTGCCGCTGGGCCGGATGCTGCGGTCGCCGCACGTCACGCAGATCCGGTCTCCGCACGAGGTCGGCTAGCGGCCGTGCGGATTCAGGGTGAGGTTCGGCGTTGTTGCGGTCGAGAGCCGGGGTCGAGGGTGCAGTTAAAGTCTCCTCCCCACGACGGTGAGTAACGTCGTCCGTTGTCGTCTGTCGCGAGCGCGTCCCGCAACTCGCCGAAGAAGAGCTTCCTCTCGGGGGCCTTGCTCGGCGCGTACACGTTATAGCACCTGAGGCAGGATTTATTCAGGACGAATTCGACAGAAGTCAAGTGACCTTTGACGATTTCTTTGAAGGAGACATTCTCTGGTGCAAGCCGCGAACTGAGCACAATCGCCACGCCGGCGAGGTTGAAGAAGGCCCGGTCGCCCTAGGAAAGGCTGGCGTTGGGCCTTCAGAGTGGCGTCGAGGTGAGTTTCCTGGAGGAGAGTCACATCTGGTCAAGGTGGGTTTCCTGGAGGAGAGTCACATCTGGCCAAGGTGGGTTTCCTGGAGGAGAGTCACATTGGGTCAAGGTAGGTTTCCTGGAGGAGAGTCACATTGGGTCAAGGTAGGTTTCCTGGAGGATAGTCACATCTGGCCATTGTGGGTTTCCTGGAGGAGAGTCACATTGGGTCAAGGTAGGTTTCCTGGAGGAGAGTCACATTGGGTCAAGGTAGGTTTCCTGGAGGAGAGTCACATCTGGTCAAGGTGGGTTTCCTGGAGGAGAGTCACATCTGGCCAAGGTGGGTTTCCTGGAGGAGAGTCACATCTGGTCAAGGTGAGTTTCCTGGAGGAGAGTCACATTGGGTCAAGGTAGGTTTCCTGGAGGAGAGTCACATCTGCTTTGTGTTCCCTGACAAAGCGGCAGATCTGGTCCCACCTCTTGTCGCTGCGAGCGCTGTTACAGTTCGGACTGGCAACCTTAATAGCTGAAGCCAGCATGTAGTTGTGTGGTGGTGGTGGTAGTGTTAACAGTAGTTGCGGGGGGCTGGGTTAAATCTGGGCAGAAGTAAGCTCCTTCTTCGCCTTGCGCACGAACGCTTTCAGGCGGGGGCATTCCCGAGTCGAGAAACCAAACCTGTCGCTGTTGCGGCAAATTTGTTGGGACGCTTTGAGGAAAGCGTTGATGTCAGGGAAATCGGCCCCGACCCTGACTTGACGCTTCCTGAAAGTGTTCCCCGAGGAAGCTGTGGATGTCCCCAGGTGAGTAACCGCACTCGCCGTTGACTTGCGAGTAGCTGAGCTCACTCACGTCGTCCTCTCCTTCGGTCTCCGACACCTCGTCGTCCGAGTCCTCCGGCTCGTCACACCGTGACTCGGCAGAAAACCTCGTTTGCCGTCGGTGACGGCAGTGCCTCATCGGGAACAGCGTGGCTGCCCCCTGGTAGTGGTGGAGGGTCTTTTGCTCTCCCCTCGGGTGAGGCGAGCCGGCCTTCGTCGCCTTCCTGCGGCGTGGCGCCGCAGGAAGGCGCCGCGCCGGCCGGTGGTTCCTCTCGCCCTGAGGATGCTGAGGCGGCGTGCGGCGTGCGGCGGTGGCGGTGTTGGCGGTCCTCGTCCCACCGTGTTGTCCTCATTCATTCCCCGCAACGTCGTCTGGGACGGCGCTCACTGGGGGGCTTTGCTCGTCCTGCTCTGCGACTTTTGGGCAGGGCCCGTGATCGGCGGTGGCCGCGCGTTCGGGGTTAGCGGCCGCGTGGCCTCCTCCGCCGTGGCCGGGCTTGGCCCTGCGCTTGCGCGAGGTGACGAGGGTGAAGCCCTCGCCGCCGCCGTCGTCTTCGTCTTCGTCGTCGTCGTCGTCGTCGGTGGGCGGCTTTGTGCGACCGGTCGCCGAGTCAGCGTCCTGCTGCTGCAGCAGCTGGCACTCGTGCGTTCGCAGGTGCGAGTGAGTGAGTGGATGATAGAGTGAGTGAGAGAGTGATTGAGTGAGTGAGTGGGTGAGTGAGTGAGAGAGTGATTGAGTGAGTGAGTGATTGAGTGAGTGATTGAGTGAGTGAGTGATTGAGTGAGTGAGTGAGAGAGCGAGTGAGTGAGTGAGAGAGCGAGTGAGAGAGTGAGAGAGCGAGCGAGAAAGAGAGCGAGTGAGAGAGTGAATGAGAGAGCGAGTGAGTGAGAAAGAGAGCCAGTGAGAGAGAGAAGGAGAGAGTGAGAGAGCGAGAGAGAGTGAGCGAGAAAGAGTGAGCGAGAGAGAGTGAGCAAATGAGTGAGAGAGCGAGTGAATGAGAGAGCGAGTGAGAGAGCGAGTGAGTGAGTGAGTGAACGAGTGAATGAGTGAGTGAGAGAGTGAGCGAGACCGAGCGAGAGTGAGGCAGAAACTGAGCGAACGAGAGAGAGAGTGTGAGTGACCGGGTGAGTGAGAGAGCGAGTGAGTGAGCGAACGAGAGAGAGAGAGAGAGTGAGCGAGTGAGTGAGTGAGTGAGAGAGCGAGTAAGAGAGCGAGTGAGTGAGCAAGTGAATGAGAGAGCGAACGAGAGAGAGAGTGAGCGAGTGAGTGAGAGAGTG